TGTCTTCCTTAGCATCCGCTTTAACTTATGTGACCATTGTGAAAGCAAAAAAACAAAACTTACACCCAACAACTCTTCTTTTTATCCCATTCAAACATCAATTCAAACAGTAAAAAAAGTGTACCAATTCAAACGTCATTCAAATAGTGTTCACTCCAAATGATACAGATCAAAACAGCGAAAGCAACGTGTGATTGTGATTGATTGGAATGGTCACAATAAATTGCAGAGTTGAAAGGGTGAAAGGGTGAAAGGGTGTCTGTGTAAGCGGTGGAACAAGATTCCGCAACCTTTTCTAGTATTAGAACACACGCCACTGTCACCTGCTTGAGTTCAGAATCAGGAACACAGCTTCAAGACTTTACAATCACACACAAAACAAAATATGAAGCAAAACGCAGATAGCAGAGACACTATAATAGTTTGTGTCTAGATTTTTCTTACTGCACCAAGTTTCAACCAATATACCAACTCAAATATCAAAGACAAGATAAAGAGGGTTTGAACAACTTACCGTGATGGGCAGCACCAACGACGATGAAATTGGGGGCGACGACAGCAACGACTACGAAGGTGAGAACGACAGGGACAAAGGCAGCACCAAAAACTGAACAAATTGCAGCGAAGCGGCGACGACGAAGGCGGCACAAATAAAACGAAGGACTTGCAGCGACGACGCTTGTGGAGGCAGCCCTTGGGGAGAACAACGGTGGTGGTGACAAAGACGAAGCAACAACGCGAAGAAGAAGCAACGAAGAAGCAATGAATACAAGGAAGCTTAAAGTGAAAGAAGAAGCAATGAACACAAAGAAGTAGCAAAGAAGCAATGAACACAAAGAAGCAGCAAAGAAGCAATGAACACAAGCAATGAACAGCAGCAACGCGAAGATAAAGAAGAAGAAACAGAAGCAGCAGCGCGAGAAGAAATGACAAGAGCTAAAAATTTTGAACCTAATAAACGATACTACCTCGGTTGTCCAGAATAACCGAGCCCTACGACATCGGTTATAAAGAAACCGATGCTTAAAATGAAAAAAAATTTGAAACTAATATTCTTTGGTTAGGAAAGAATCGAAGCCGAAGAACGTTTTGACACCGGGTCTAAGGAAACCAAGGTGGTAGCTCAGGCGTTATACCTCGATTCTGCATGAAACCGAGATACATAAAGTTGTCAGCCAAAAAACCGGACGGGTAGGTGAGTTTTAGACACCGGTTCTTCAAGAAACCAAGGATATAAATTTCTTATGTAAGTTGTGTTTATATATTATTAAAGTTATATCTCCCTAATTAAAACTTATATTAAAAGTATTTTTCACGAACAGTCACATAAGCATTATGATGAACAATGATAATATCTGTGTTTAAATTTGGCTCATATTTAATTGAAGATATGTCTTAGTTATCTTCTTTTAAAAAACTTAGCAATTTAATATATGTTCGTTTCAGTCAGATCTTCATAATCCTAAGAAATCATCATTAGCTAAAAAAAAACCTTGCACAACAAACTAGCTAAAAAAAACTTAGAAAATCATCGTTAGGAATATTGCATAATGTTTTTCGCTTAAATATTTTGAAAGTGATGCCTAAATTAAATTTGTACGAGTATAGACTTGAGACATCCCGAGCTTACTACAACCTAACGGTTTCATCTTAACACGACACGTAGTAATGCAAAAATTTTTTTACGTCCATTATTTATATTAAATTATGTTAGTTTCAAAAACCACCCATAAATTACAAATATCTTATAAAATTATAACTAAAATGAAATTCATTTTACGTGATGAAACTGTTATATTGTTTTCTGTTTTTTATTTTATTTACTTCTAATAAAAAGGGTAAAGTATTGTGATTAATATAATATATACTTATTAAAAAGATGATGAGGTTGTGGAAGCGTTTTTGTCTTTTACATCATTATTGTGTAACAACTAAATTATAATCGTCATTAGGTTATTCAACATATTTTTTATTAAAATAATAAAGTTATTGTCATACTTTAACTATAATACTGTTTTATATAAATATCAAAATCTCACATTTTTTAGAACATAAAAACAAGTAAATAAGATAACAATCATATTATCATGTTAGTAAAAAACTAAATAGTAAAAATTCAATATAAAAGTACAAAATTTTTAAATATTAAAGATATTTAATTAAAATTATTTAAATTTACAAGATACATAAAAGTTAATTAACCCTCCAAATAATGAAAAGAAATCTCTAAATTTAACTTCACATGTTGAAAAATCCAAAATGATTTTAAATTCTTCTACTGAGGTAAACTTCCGAGAAAGAAGAAAAAACAAAGTGAGAGGTGCTGCAATCACTGTGCTTGAAGGAATATTTAAATTATGTTCTAAGTCAACTATTTTACAGATCCAAAGGCGACTTTCTTTATTTTAAAATGATACTCACATATTAGTTGTTTATTCTTATTGGTAGATGTGTCCTGCTCTCATATTAACTTAAGCTATAGCAACCACCAATTGTTATATTGTACTGATTAACACAATTTTATTGCTGACTGATTCTTTTGTCGTCATTTTCACCATAGTCTATGATAAAATAATAATGCTGAACAGCAGGGTAAGAGACTCTCAAAGGTTAGGATCTTATAAATATAGTGGTATTTAGAGAATTAATGGATCTTTTGAAATATTACTTACTTCAAACATATAATATTAATATAATTAATGATAATAAAATAATAAATAATAATCGTAATACCAAAATATTAAAAATTAATTAATTATTGACATTCGGATATAAATCAAATAAACGTAAGTTTAGTGTTTGTAAAATGAAAAGAGACTTAAAAAAATCTTGGACTGGTGTTCTTTAATATTATATATCTATTATATATATATATTAATGATTAGATAAAAAAAAATATCAGCGGTCACTTAAAAAAATCTTAAAAGAAATTGTCATGAAATTTAATTAAAGATTAGCATCAACCAAAATCTATTAAAAGATTTATTATTAAAAGATTTATAATGTTGACAATCTTTTAATCACTAAGAATTATTTAATGCTGAAACAAAGCTTTTCATATCATAGAAATTAAAATAATTTATTTAAAAGAGAACATGAAAGTTCTACCCTTCAATTTGAAATAGCTTAATCAAATACTAAGTAAAATATAATACCGATAATGGATTTACTAGTATAGTCACGTGCCACATGGTTTTAGTACTGAATCATGTAATTAATTATTTGGATTTATAACTTATATATATAATTTTAAATGGTAAGGAGTAACAACCACTATACTTCCACCAGCAGTGATTAAAGCACGAAAGAAAGTCTTAGTCTGTATCTGAATAGCCATATGCTCAAACCAATAGGAAATTAGATGCTTTCAAATATTGTTTCTTGGTTCGTTTGAAATCTTGTATATATCCTAAGATTTTCTATATTATTATATATATATATATATATTATATATATTAAAAATTAAATTTGAGTTCATATTCATAAAAAAATTAAACATATATAATAATAAAAACAAAAAAAATCATTTTTTTTAAAGTTTTGGATTGGAAATAGTATCAATTTTAATTCTAATTGATTTTATATATTACTAGTGTTGTGTCTTCTTAATTAATTTCTTTCAAATTATATCAAAAGAATTTCAAACAAATAGTCAAATAAATGTTATAATAAATGACAATAATCCCTTATATATAAATTTAATTGAAGTTGTATTTCTTTAGTTATCTTCCTCTTAAGACTTATCAATATTCATAATCTTTTATTTACTTTCTAATAAAAAGGTAAAGTATTGTGATTAATATAATATAATACTTTCATTAAAAAGATAAAGAAGTTGTAAATTTTTTTATGTCTTTTACATCAGCATGTGTAACAACTAAAGAATTATACCAGTATCTATCTTTTGTTGTAGATGACATATAAACTATACTTATTCAACATGTTTTTTATTAAAATAATAAAATTTGTTGTTATACTTTAACTTTAATATTTTTTTATATAAATATCAAAATCTCATATTTTTTACAACATAAAAACATGTAAATAAAAAATAGCAATCATATTATCTTGTTAAATAAAAAACTAAAATAATATAAAAACTTAATATAAAAGTACAAACTTTTTAAAATATTAAAGATATTTAATTAAAAATATTTAAATTTACAAGATACATAAAAGTTAATTAACCCTTAAAATAATAAAAAGAAATCTCTAAATCCAACTTCACATGTTGAAAATCCAAAATGATTTTTCCTTTTTTGTCCTTGATTCTATTACGGAGGTCAACTTCAGATAAAGAAGCAAAATCCATGTGAGAGTTGCTGCAATCACTGCGCTTGAGGAATATCAAATTATGGCTCAAACGTCAACTATTTTACAGATCCAAAGGCAACACCAGTTTATTATTGTACTGATTAACGTTTATGACTGATTTTTTGGGGAGTGATTTTCTCCACAGTCTATTATAAATTAATAATATCTTTTTTTTTTGTGTAGTTAGTTTATATGACTTTGCATAATGATGTTCTTTAAAAAAAATAATTAAGTTTTGCTTTTCAATATTGATACATATAAAAATTATTTGATTTTTTTCAACGTTTTTTTGTTGAAGTGAATATGGTCCTGTCAATAATATTTTTAATATCTTATTTCTTGCAATAATATGTGAAAGTGGTTGACATGTGTTTTTCGCTTCTATTTTTAGTATATTTTAAAATGGTTGAGTAATACGCATTAGATATCTTGATTCCTTTCTAAATGATATTAATGAATTATAAATAAATATATATACAACATTATAACATCATTTCGAATTTCGAAACTTTAACATATGAATCTATCACTTTATTGTATATGTTCTTCAGTTTTCTTATTATCAACGTGAGATTCGGATCTGGATTCCTACCACAGTATATTCCAAATTTAAAATATCAGGTTATTTCAACTGGCAATCAATATTAAACTTTCACATGAATTTTCCGCTAGAGCAACAAATGATATAAACATGCAACAGAGATTTTCTAGTTTTTAGATTATATAAGAAGGATTACAATCTCTAATGCAAACTCTGGACATGCATGTTTGAAACTTGATTGCCACTCGTACAAAAACGACACCATGAATGACTTATTTCAGTACCAAGGAGTTCTGATATAAGTCTTATTTTACAATAAACTTATTCATAATCAACAGCATAAGAAGCCAAATGAACAACTAAAGAAAGTTCCAGCGTTGCTTTAAGGGTGACACCTTAAAATTTGACAAAGCCCTTTTCCCTCAAGCTTTCCACAGTATCCTTGAGGCTCACTTCCAAAGGAGTAAATTAAAGTCCCAAACTCTTTGCTCTTTCCTTCGAAACCTGAAATACTGGAGGATATGGCTTATCTTCCGCACACCTGGTAATATTGTCGAAAGAGTGAGACGGTATTAGAAAAACTGAATCTTTTATGCAATCTTGAAACTAGGAAAATAAGTATACTCACTTATCTGGAAGTGGCAATGTTGGGTATACATCACGTAAAATCTGCACAGCCTGTGAGTGGTGTATGACTCTCTCAACTAATATATATCTTCCATTTGCTGAAGCATTCTCATATGCTAGAATATGAGCATTTGCAACATCTCTCACGTCGATCCATCCCAAAGTTATATTTTTAAATGTTGGCGAACCTGTATCGAGGTCATGGAACAGTTTCTTCAATCAGCTAAGAAGTTTCAGTTGAAAAAACTTGCATTGTGTAATGAAGATGCAGAAATTACCATTAACAAAATTTAAAACTGCAGCAGCACTGGTGTTAAGTTCTGGTTGCAAGAGAGGTCCACTAACCAATGCTGGATTTATTGTAACCAAGTCAATATTGTTTTCTTTTGCAAATTTCCATGCAGTCTCTTCGGCCAGTGTCTTTGAAAGATCATACCATCCCTAAAACATATATGCCAAAAAGGAAGAAATATCAACAAGGTTGTAACAGCATACGTGAGCTTTATCAAAGTCCATGCACAGCATCTAATGAAAGGTTATCAGAGGAAACGGCACATACCCCATTTCTCCTACAGAATTCTGGGTCGGAAAACCAAGTCTCGTCAACCACCACATCAGGGGCTTTGGGCCTGTCGTTGTTCGCAACTGCCGCAACAGAAGAAGTTACAACCACGCGTTTCAGCGTCGCGGACTTCGCACACGATTTCAGAACATTCAGAGTCCCCTTCACAGCTGGATCCAACAACTCAGCCTGAAATACATAATATTATTATACGTAATCCACATATAAAACAAATGCACAAATCCCACTACAGAACGAAACAAACCTGCGGGTCCTTGGCGCCGATAAAAAAGGGAGAAGCAGTGTGAAACACAGCCTGACAACCTTGAACGGCAGAGTCAAAAGAACCTTCTTCTAGAAGATCGGCCTTGAAGAGATGCAATCTCTCCTTTGCACCATCAAGTTTAACCAAATGATCTACCTTTTTGGGATTATCTGCATATCACACATTATCCAATCTTTAATCTTCCAACTAATCACCCACGAAAACAAAAACTACATTAAAAAAACACATACTTGGGTCGCGAACGGTGGCATTAACAGTGTAACCGCGTTCGAGGAGAAACTTGACGAGCCAGGAAGCGATGAAACCGGAAGCGCCCGTAACACAGACAACTTGGCCAGTGCCGGTGGTCATTCTGGATTATGTTCTTCTGCTCTGAGATGAGTGTTGAATTGTGCTGTGTTAACTGAGTCTCAAAGTGAGGTTTTAAAAGAACCAAAATTGCTCAGAAGGGCACATGGGTTGGTAGTTACACATAAATAAACCATAGACATGTGCAAAACGGACACAGACAAAATTAATAATATAGTTGATTGTTAGGTAAGGTATCTTGACTTTGCAGATTTGGTTACGTTCATGATTTTCCTCAGAACTTCTTTTTATTCAATATTGAGTGACTCTATATTCAATAAAAAGAAGTTCCCGCCCAGGAAAATAATACGTATCTGCTGAATAATACGTAAAATAATAAGAAAAGTAATACTGAATATCATATAATAGTTGTAAAGATATAAGCAGATTATTTTAAGTCTAAACCGAGATGACGTATCTGCTGATGTTAACATACGTATCTGCTGATGTTAACATGTCCATACAATTATTTTGATACAATAATTCTAGAGACACTTTACATCTATTATTTTATTTAATATTTTTTATAAATACAAAAAATAATTTCTTAATAACCAAAATATCTTTAAAATAGTTGTCAACGGGTTTTTAATACTTATAGAGCAAATAAATTTTAATTTTAATATTATTTTTAAAAAAAAACATTGACTTTAAATTATAGAATTGTTTGTTTTTTATCTGAGATGCCATATAGCGTGGTGCGAAGATCTGTCAGGGGTAATTATTTTTGGGTACAGATTATAAAAACGTATTTTATATGGGCGAACGGGAAGGAAACAATTTTGTATTAATTTGTCATAAATGTTAAAGTTCTTATATTATTTACCTTATTGTTTTTATTATATCATAATATATATTATAATATATATATATAAATATATATATATATATAATATATCTCTACTCTACTACTATCTCTTCCTCCTCTCTCTCTCTTATCTCTCTATCTTCCTGTTAATTCTTCTTGTTTAACGTACATTATGAACCAACAAAACTGAAAAAAAAACTGAGAAAAAAACCCATTAAAATACCGAGAAAATAGGTGTGAGTAAGTTATTGTCTTTAGAATCGCTATCACAATTAAATTGTTGGCATTCAATTAAAATGAATTTCGCCACGTATTCTTCCGTGATTTTTTCAGTCGATCAAAATGTACTAGAACCTTCTCTGTGTTTCATTGCTGAGTGTGATAGAATATTAGAGATTTCAAGATAGGTTTAAAAAGGGATGGCTAATTTGACTCATGAGAGGTTCTGAGTTGTTTGTTGAGTTACAAATACAGTTTTATTAGAGGATTCACTTGATTAAGTTAGAAAAAATATATATATTTAAATATAGGTTAAAGTAAATTAAAATTATTTAATATGTGAGTTAAATTAGTTGAAGAACTTGAGAGTAAATTGACTCGTCAACAAGAACTTTCAATAAATTTTGTTATTATTTTAAAAAATATATAACTATTTTTTTAATTATGTCTATTGATAATTTTTTTTGAAAAAAATTATAATTTTATGCAATAATATTATTTGAATAGTTTAAATATTTAATTTATTTGTTTAATAAATTATGTAGGTTCATATTTTAATTTTTAACTACGTTATTTTTATAATAATATTTGGTAAAATAAATTAATTTTAAATTATACTATTCAAAAGAAAATAAGTTGAATGCATATACTTCAATAAATATAGAATAGATTAAAAAGTTAAAATATTTTTAAATACGTTAATTTATTAGAATAGCTTCCTTTTTTAGCATAGATCTACGGACAGGTCACAAGATCCAAATAATGGCTTGAATGCTCTTGATAATTAGACTTGAATCCCTTGTTGCTCTAATGGAGGAGGAAGAGATCCACTTGAAAAAGATTCTTTGACGCTTAAGTCAGTAAGAGAGTTTAGGATCTATGAGTATGAGTCTCAGATATTAAATGAGTATTCCTTAAAAAATACTAGTTGTATTTATAGGATCCATATAGGTCGTGGACCTATATTATCAATTGAATAATACTTAACTTAAGTATATAATAACAACGCCGAGATGAGTTTCATAAGTGGATATTGTCTCCAATAGCGTAAAGTTTTTTGGTTGTTCTAGAGTGCATAATAATAATCTTATGGGCCTTGTTGGGTCGTGCTCTTTAGTATGTCTATTGGGCCGAGTAGGAACACCACCAAATACACCTACACCCTAGGTCTTTGTCACTTGAATGGATTTGGGGAAGAGTGATTGAGGGGATTTGAGAGAATTTGAAGATAAATTTTTTTGTTGTTTATTTGAGTGAATTTGGAGGTAAATGAGAGTGGATGTAGAAGTAAATTTTTTTAATCTGTCACGTCAATAAAATCCTACACTAATTCTCACAAACTTTACTTCCAAATCCTCTCTCACTTACTTCCAAATTCACTCAAATAAACAACAAAAAAAATTACCTTCAAATCCCCTCAATCACTCTCTCCCAAATCCATTCAAGTGAACAAGGCCTTAGTCTTAGGAGTTTGATTTGGCATACATAAGTGTGTCTAATCCCTTAGTCGAGCCTTGACCGACTTGTATAGTGCATCAAACTAGATGCAACAAGTATGTCCATGTGACGCACTCCCACTATTGTGGCTCAAACATTCATTGTAAACATCTCTCAACTAGTTGAGTAACCCTCAAACGATCCACACCTAAAAGGTCCATGATAGCATACCAACCTTCTTTAAACTACAAGGCTTCATATTCAAACATAATTGTTTCACAATAGGTAGGTGTAGCAATACGAAAATGTCATCTAGTGTGACAGTCATCTCACAAACCAAGACATGGAACCTATTTGTCTTATGTCATCTCTCAATTTACATCAATATTAAACCTTTGTCGACGTAATTGTAATAAATATCACATAGAGACATCAAACCAGAATTCAACACAAAAATGTTGAATAGCCACATGATATGTTTCAAATTTGTTTAGTTTTAATTTTTTCTAAATGGAGACTGATTTGATCTCCCCTCGGTCTTACAAAAAATAATTAGATATAAAGTTTAAACAACTCATCAATCATTAAAATTCAAGTACTGTACTAACCTGACCTTGTCACAACGCATATGCAACATCCAAATAACTAGTCAAGACTGATGTATCATATGGATTCTTGGAAATCCACCTACTTCATCTTGTTCTTGAAAAACATCCTCTGTTTACTCAAGAACATCATCATGCTGCCTAATAACATCCTTTTGCTCCTTATGAACATCAACATGATGTAATGCCCCAGCCTCTTCAAGACGACTCCTTCTACGAGTTTAATGTCGAAGGTCTCCTTCTCCCGTTCATCTTGTGAAGAACTCTCATCCCGATATGTAGATGCCCCTTGTATTCTTTCCATATCTTGTAAAAAACAAATTCATCAAATATTAAAACACCAAACATAGATAAAATATAAAGCACAAAAAAAACAAAAATTTAAAAAAAAAAAATAAAAAAAAAAAAAAAAAAATAAAAATTAGAAAAAATTGGATTTCGAAATTTGGTTAAGCTTTTTCAAATTTCAAATCTGGTTCTAATCCAATTCACAACCCTAACCGTTAATTTCTTAATCGATTTTCGAAAATCTAGTGAAAATAAATAACCGAATTTTGACAAAATACACACAAATCCCCCGTTCAAGGAAAACAAAAACGAATATGTACCATGGTGTCGTCTGTAGGGATGAAGAAAAAAGCTTGGTTTGTTTAGTGAGGAAGAAAACTCTATGTAGGCTTCTTTGAAAAATATTCGTTACTCATAACTTTTGACTTTTCTCATAGAGGTCTAGGCCTTTTGTACTACGTCAGAAGCTATGTTGTGTCTTGCAAAGGCAATAGTGTTTTGTACCAATAGAGATAGGTAAAAAGAATGAAGAAAAAACATTCCTAAAAATATCTTCATGTTTTTAATCGTTCTTCTGATTCTAATGCAGGATTTTGAATAAAGGTAGTTGTTTGATATGATCTGCAAAAAAAAGGAGAGCACAACACAACAAAAACAATAGTACTACAACATACATGAAATAAAACGTTGGACAATTGTAAGCGTTAGGCATTATTATGTGTACTATCGTTAAGTTAAGGCGGTTGTCTATTTGAGTAACTTTATAGTGTTTAGAATATTTTTAAATACAACGTCTAGCTTGCGTTTATTATCCTAAACGATTCACGTTATTAGACCGTATTTCCTTTAAACATATTAAACTTCAAAATTAGATTTGTTTAAACGATCCAATTTAACACATAACATTTAGACGATCTTGTCTTAACACGTAACATTTAAATTATCTTTATCTTAACAAAAGAAGAAAACTTCTGTGGCTTGCAAATAACGCTCACAACGGTCACGGATAAGGGGTCTTGTCGAAAATAGAAGAGGTGATCTCGTCTTTTATTGCTATAAAAAAATATATGTTTTAATGACACTTTGTTCGTCAACTTCTTAAGTGAAAAATCAAGAAAAATGAAACATATTGATTAAATAATATTTTAAAAAATGTTAGCTCTATTTGAAGATAGAAGAAGATGGAAGTGTGGAAGAAGAAATCAAAGTCATTTTTTAAGTTGAAGAAACACGAATTTCAAGAAAAAAAGTGGAGTTAGTTCATGTGAAGGCTTCTAAGTTAGTTTATATATATTAAAGGACATTATTTTCATGTAGCTGCTAAATTGATATCATGAAAATTTAGGATTAAATGAAATATATTACATGTAACTATAAATATATAAATTCTCAATATAATATAACTAGTATGTCGAATAAAATGAAACCTCTTCCATTTCTCAAAATCTCATTATATAGTTTTTTAACATCTCTTTTCGGTGTATTTCTGTAATTGTATAAATATAGTTTACTTGACCTAAAAAAATAAGTTAGATTTATGATATTGTGAATATAGTTTTCGTAGACAGTGCGATGTAACATGTAGTGTCTTTTAGTGAAACATCTATAGAAGAAATATATATATATATATATATATATATATATTATATATTATTATATATATATATATTATAATATATATATAGTTTTCCTAGAAATTGTGCCATGAACATAATAACGTGAAGTGTCTTAGTGAAGCATCTATAATGCAAATATAAATCTGTAATAATGGATATCCTGTGCGTAAAGAAAAATTCACTAGGAGCTGGAATTTCTTGCTAAACCAATATGTAATATTTTTTTTCTATAAGTCTAAAAGACGAATTTTAATATTTTTCTAACTTACCACTTTTTAGGCTTGTGTTTGAAAATATTATTACTCTGAAGATTTAATTGAATGATTGATTACTCTTACTAGAAAAAAATTCTCTTTAATTCTTATACTTAAAATTGTTTCTTTTCTTTAGCTCAATATCACTTTTAAGTTTTTTAGCCTTTCTACTAGAGACTTAAGACATTAAAATTGTATAAAAGAATACTAAAAGGATTAAAAATGATGTGCAAAGTTTAAATAATGTTTGTAATGGTTACAGAGATTAGAAAAATAAAATTTTCCAACTAATGTGTCAGCTCAGTGTCTTCGTTCTAAGTTTTGATGACTTTACACTAACCCTGATTTTCAGTTAGCAGATTTAGATCAACAAAAAAATGAAGAATCATATTTTTCTACAAACATTTCTCACAAAAAGAAAAAAGAAAAAAAGAATGAAAAACTAGGAAGAGTTTATAATTAAACTTTAGACAAATTAATACAAAATAATGATATTTGGAAACTAACAACTCTTATCAAATGTCAGGAAAGCACTTGGATTAAAATGGGTGGTAAAAGGCAAGAAGAATTCTAGTGGAAATGTGAAAAATAAAAAGCACAACTTGTTGTAAAATTTAATCTAAAAAGCTAAAAGCATGCACAAGCACTAGCAAAGAATTCGATGTTTTATGATCGAAGCAAGCATAACCAGATATCATTTCATAAGAGTCTATTTCTATAAGGAAGTGGAGCTCAATGTCAAGGCTGAAAATCAAGTTACATATATCTTCGCAAAGCCACTAAATTTTGAAGAGTTTTAGAGGTTAAGAGAAATATTGGTGTGAAGAAGAAAATTTCAAATTAAGGGAGATAAATAATGTTATTGTAATTTGAAATAAATAAATATCTAAATGCATTTTGAGTTTCTCTAATTAAGGTCTAGAAAATCTAGAAAGTCTTATTAATAAGTGAAGGATGTAGAAAATTCCATATTGGAGCTTTAGTTAGATAAGATCCTAGAAGAAAAATTCTAGATATAAGATCTTACAAAAGAGTCTAGATCTCTCCATTAGCATCTATAAATAATCCAATGTATTTGACATTTTTCGTGCAAGGAAAATTGAGTTCTCTCTTTTCACTCCTCCGCCTCTTCCTCGAAAAGCATATTCTTTCAAGAACATATTTTCTGTAAGGTAGTTGAGGTAAATTTAGATATTAAAATAAGAAAGTAGATTACGATGGAAAAAGAGAGGTGTAAACCACATAAGAATAACTATTTCAGTACTTAGCAGTTCTGATATAAGTCATATTTTACAGTAACAATTTATTCATAAGCATGAGCTTAAGAAGCCAAGTGAACAACTAAAGAAGGTTTTTCCACGTTGCTTGAGGGGGTAACAACTTATAAGTTGCGTAAAACTTCTTTTCCTTCAAGCTCTCCCCAAGTATAAAACAACAAAGCACAACAAACAAACGACAAACCAAATAAAATCCTGAGGCTCCAAATTTCCAAAGGGGTAAATCTCAACCCCCAAGCCCCTCTTTTGCTTTTTTTCCTTCGAAACCTGGAGATTGGATCATATGGCTTATCATCACACACCTGGTAGAACTTATTGCCGAGTGAATTTAGCATCTTAGAAAGATAAAAAACCAATAGAGTCCACAACTCTCAATTATTTATGATAAAAAATTCAGTTGTTGAAAACATCATAATACAATCCCCGGCTAGGAAGAGTATTGTCGTTGTAATTTTTGTAAATATATCGTTTGTATGAGCATGAGTTAACAATAGATTGATTTGATAAATTAAGACAAATTGTTGGTTGTATATAGTTTTATTTTAGGAAGGTTGTGATGCTGTTTTTAGAAGCCGCTTTGTTACAAAGTAGGCCAAAAATTGGTGTATTTATTAACCAAAGTAGGGTAAAATTGAACTAAAAGTGAAGTCGTGGGGTCAAAACGACTTCAAATGAAGAATTGAGTTCCGTGCCCCCCCTGACGACTTCACACTGTTCATGCAACAGTGTTAAGTCGTAGCACCCCAAAACCTATCACCCGACTTCTGGGTCCCGTAATCGATTACCATTTTTTGGGTATCGATTCCACAATGTTGAAATCCCTGACCCCCCTGCAAGACTGGAAATGTGAAGGCCAGAAACATACATACACTGGATATCATGACGCCTTTTGCGTAATCGATTACAGGTGGGTTATGTTGGAAGAAGCACATCTTTGACCCCGTGAAACTTCTGGAAAAAATGAGCTACCCGGGCCGCGGAACGATCCCTGTATGTGGACGAGCCGTTCACTGAAAATGGAATGGAGAGCGTCAATGCCCTGCCGAGCGTCCACTGACCGCATATATCGACGAGCGTCTCCTCTTAGCTAGAATGACGAACGTCTCCTCTTTTACTTTCTGGACGAGCGTTATCTCTCGCCTGGCTGGAGCAGCGTCCTCTTTGCCTGACCGAGAGTCCGCTTCTGTCTCCTAGACGAGCGTCCTCTTCTGCCTTGCACCAAAAACAACACTGGTAATCGATTACACTGTTTTGTAAATCGATTACCAGTGCTTTGGTGGGCAATACCAATTTGAAGTCGTGCAGGGTGGTCATGATTTTTCAACCACTACTGTAATCGATTACATTACAAAATTTGTAATCGATTACAAGTGTCTTGAAGTTCGTTTCTTTGTTTTTTGGGTGCACGACCTTCACACACTGTTGACTATGAACAGTGTGAAGTCGTGCAGGGGGGCACGACTTCTTCATTTGAAGTCGTTTGGGCCCCCAGACTTCCCATTTTCGGTAAATTTGGTTGAATTTGCCCATTTCGGTAATATTATAGACAAATATGCCTAGTTTAGTGCAAAAACCGTTTTAGCCTATATAATCTAAGGTTTTGTATAGTTTCAGATCACAAACGTTGAATGCATTTCAAGCAAGTAAACAAAGCACCAAATAGTAAGGTACAACAGATGGGGACTTATGTTCAGATTTACATGAATCGTATGCAGTCTTGAAACTGTCAAAATAATTATACTCACTTCTCCGGAAGTTGCAATGATGGATATAAATCACGTAAAATCTTCACAATGTCTGAGTAGTGTGCCACCCTGTCAACTAGTAAATATCTTCCATTGGCTGAAGCACTCTCATATGCTAGAACATGTGCAAGTGCAACATCTCTCACGTCCACAAATCCCAAAGTTACATTTTTAAATGTTGGTGAACCTGTATCAAGGCCATGTAACAGTTCTTCAATTTTCTAGGAATAGTTCAGCGAAAAAAAATACAGTGTAATAAAGAAGCAGACAGATCAAATAAAAATAAATAGAAATTACCATTAATTAAATTTAAAACTGCAGCAGAACTAGTGTTAAGTACTGGTTGCAGGAGAGGTCCAACAACCAATGCTGGGTTCATTGTAACCATGTCAATATTGTTTTCTTTTACAAATTTCCAGGCAGCCTCTTCGGCCAAAGTCTTTGAAAGGTTATACCATATCTAAAACATACAAAAGAAATATCAAGAAATGTGAAGAACAAGGTCAGATAACATGCATGCCAAACTATAGTAGGGAGTAACATGTAATGAAAGCTTATTAGAGGAAAAGGAACATACCCCATTTCTCTTACAGTATTCTGGGTCAGAATACCAAGTCTCGTCAACCACTACATTAGGGTTTTTAGGCCTGTCGTTGAACGAAACTGCAGCAATAGAAGAAGTTACAACCACGCGTTTCAGCGTCTTTGATTTCACGCACGATTTCAGAACATTCAGAGTCCCCTTCAAAGCTGGATCCAACAACTCAGTCTGAAATACATAAAGCAAAAACAAATTATTATACAGCCAAAGATAAAACAAGTGAACAAATCGAATTGCAATCGAAACAAACCTGCGGATCTTTGGCATTGTCAAAAAAGGGAGACGCAGTGTGGAACACACCGTGACAACCTTGAACGGCAGAGTCAAAGGAACCTTCTTCTAGAAGATTCGCCTTGACGAGATGCAATCTCTCCTTCGCACCATCAAGGCTGAGCAAGTGATCTACCTTTTTGGGATCACCTGCACATCACACATTATCCAATCTTTAATCTTCCAAATGATCACCACAAATATTCACCGACGAAAACAAAATCTATAGAAAACAAAAAAGAAAAACACGTACTTGTGTCGCGAACGGTGGCCCTCACGGTGTAACCGCGTTGTAGAAGAAACTTGACGACCCAGGAAGCAATGTAACCGGAAGCTCCGGTAACACACACTACTTGTCCGGCCTCGCTGGTCATTCTGGATTTTGTTCTTCTGCTCTGAGCTGAGTATTGAGTTTGTGCAATGTTCAATGAATCTAAAACTGAGGTTTTAAAAGACACAAAGTGTTGTTCAGAAGAGCACATGGATCGATGAATTAATACATAAAAAAATAGACATGCAAAAAACGCGAACCAGGCGGGTCAAGATAGAATATAGCCTATAGATAGCTGTGCGATTCTAATATTCTGAATCATGTTGAAAAAACAATATTTTTTTTCGTTTACAAAATAATACGAAAATTAAATTAAATATTGTATAATAGTGTCGAGGTATCCATCCATTGGAGGATATCGAGACAAAGATATTGAAAGCAATAATATAAGTAGGAGAAGGATGTCGACAACAAGATTAAGAAAGGAGGTCAGAGGTAGGAAAAAAGAAAATCGAAATAAAAACCAAAATAAGAAGTGAAATAAAGAAAGAATGATGGAAAATTTAAGAGATAGTTGGAAAAGATGTTCCCTAAAAAGAATGAAAAAAATGAATAACGCGAAATCGAAAAGAAACTAACATCTGAAAATACTCCTGCAGAGAATGAGTAGACATATATTTGACGTAAAGTGGAATTTTCTTTAAGAGCAAACATCGTACCGTAACACTAGCTAAAAATAAAAACAAGAAAACGTCACTAGAGGGAATATTTCAGAATCTTTTTCAATTAAATTGTTTGGAAGTGATGGCTAAATTGTAGTCCGTGGTTAGTAATTTATTAATCTAATGATATAGTGTCGAGGTATGCATGTGGGTACATAGTCATTTTTATAATTTTATCCTTTCATTTTTTTTAATAAAAACTCTCATCTTATTTTATATGTTATTTTATTGGGGATGACATGGGTCGGTGAGCACTGAGTAATGCTTACTGATACTTTTATCGAAAAACTAATGTGATTTCATTAGCTAATACATATATCTCCATATCAATATA